AATATGTAAAACAGGAGGGACTTCGAATGTTAATCAAAATGCATATATAGAGGTACCAGACATGTTTTGCAGTGTCAGGTACTCTATTTTGTAGTCTGTGAAAGGGAAATCACAAATAGAGTGTCGTCAAAATACATGGCATGTTGAGAAATTGAACTAGTGAGAGCAAATTTTCTCTCGCAAATTTGATTTATTTGGCTCTCTGGTGACTGGTAATTGTAGCTTGTTTAACAATAATTTCCGGGAAAAAACCAAACGACAAAGTCCCTGATTAATTTCTTTAGTCGTCCACTTGTTTTGACCTGAATATGCACCGAAAGCGAATTATTCCCACTTCTCTCAATTTCTATATGGGGATTTTCGTCATTTCCTACCAGTAGAACAGCGCCATCTCTGTGGAAAGTGGCCGGACGATATGATTCATTGGTAAAAATCTGTACTAAATCTGTATTAAGTTTCAAATATCTGTATAATGTCTGTACTCTGTACTGGATCTGTACGAGACTTCAAAAATCTGTATAGATACAGACATATCTATATATCTGGCACCGCTGGCAGCAACAGCAGCCAATTGCCACAGAGAAGCAGATGAAAATCCACGCCAATGCGCCCCCTTTCGACGCTTTTTCAGCATCGTTCAAGCCATTTTATGAACAAAATCTGGAATTCACATCGTGTCAATAGCCGAACAATTTTATTTTGTTTACAAACAGGACGTAAGTCTAATATGTGAAAGAGATAAGCTAGTTCGGGAGTGTTTGAATCGGCGTCTGCGGCCGTTAACATGATGACCCAGTACTATTTTGGCCCAATTCCGGCGTCAATGCACTACTCGAAAGACACGGTAGCTTGGTACAACAAAGCAAATAATGTGCAATGCGTGCCAAAAGAGATGAATCCTCCGAATTGTCCCGAAGCCCGGCCAATCGAATCTTTTTGGGCCCTTTCCAAGGGATATCTACAAACACTTTTAAGGCAGCGAATTCAATCAAAGGATTTGAAAAAGACTGGACAAAAGTGGTCAATATTATCGCCAAGGAATCTGTGCGAAAAAAAAGGGCATATCATCTTGTGTAAACAAAACTTGTATGGCCGTTTTCGGGCAAACTGAAGGACGCCCACGCAAAGCAAGAATACCATCAAGAAGGGGAAAATTGCAAAACTCAGCTTAAATTTATTCTCGTTATCACAAGGCTAACTCTTTCGACTGAAGTATAGTAATGAATATCCGTCAAACACTTCCTCCCTCCCCTTGGCTAGTTTTTGCACCTTGCTGTTGGTGGGCGGGCCTAATTTCATGCTTTATAGTGGAGTGTTGGAGACGGTAGATTTATGGCCGGCATTGCTGGCTCTTAGCCGCGGTAGAATGGCGTCATGGGCAGGCAATGGGGATTTACGTTCGGGAGTGTTTGAATCAGTGTTTGATGTATCTACGCGCACACGTCACAGCATTTTTTCTATAACTATCTTGAAACAATACACACGGAATCCAGTGTTCAAGCGGCCAACATAGGCTAGTCCTTCTGCTGTATTGTCAAAGATATAAGCAAAATTTATTCAAATGGGTCAAGTCTTGACAACTAAGCTGTCACGCAGCTCCAGCTTGATAACCAAAAAAAAACTGTGCTTATATTTTCTGGGACACCCTATACTATATTAATCACTACCTCGCGTAACAGGGCATATAAGCTTGTGTAAACAAAACTTGTATTGCCCTTTTCGCCCGAACCGAAGGACGCCCACCCAAAACAAGAATACTATCAGGAAGGGGAGATTTGCAAAACTCAGCTTAAATTTCAGGCATAACATTTGATAACGGCACAAAAGCATTTGTAAACAAACTTTCTAAAGCCCTTTACACGCGAACCAAAGTACGCCCACGCAAACCAACAACATCATCGGATGGGGGCAACTATCACCTTTCCGAAAGTGGTATTGGTTTGCGTGGCGTACTTTGGTTCGCGTGTAAAGGACCTTAGAAAGTTTGTTTACAAATGCTTTTGTGCCGTTATCAAATGTTATGCCTGATTTATTCCGATTCTTATCACAAGGCTAACTCTTTCGACTGAAGTATAATAAAGAATATCCGTCAAACATTTCCGAATACATTTTTTGATGCAAGCCAGTGTCAAAATCTAGAGAAAATTCATGGTGTCCCCAGGCTAATAAGATCAACCCAAATTTGTGTGCAGTTTACTCATGAATCGCAAAAAGTGCAGGAACTCAGCGATGAGTAAATTTACCTCATGTTTATCTAGATTTTTCAAGTTTTTTTTTTCAGGAAAAAATCCCTAATATGAGAAAAGTAAGGACGGGATTCTCTCAGTCTTTTGTGGTTTTGAATCATCGCTGAGTTCCTGCACTTTTTGCGATTCATGAGTAAACTGAAGTCAAATTTTGGTTGATCTCATTTGCGTATTTTCATTGGATTCTTAGATACACGAAAAAAAGTTACATTACCTACCTTACTCACCAATCAGGCTAAGGCCTTGTTGTCCTCTGCTGTCCGAAGAAGTCGTCTCCACTCTACCCGATCCATGGGCACAAGTCGCCAGCCTCGTAGTCTGCGAAGAGTCTGCAGGTCGCCTTCTACTTGGTCGATCCACCTCTTGTTCCTGTTGAATCGCTTTCGAGAACCATTTTCACTGGGTCGTCGTCCGGCATTCTAGCGACGTGCCCAACCCACCGTAGTCGCCCATTTTTTTGCAATGTGGACGATGGATGCTTCTCCCAGAAGCTGGTGCAATTCGTGGTTCATTCGCCTCCTCCACGTTCCGTCATCCATCTGTACTCCACCGTAGATGGTACGCAACACATTCCGTTCGAAAACACCAAGGTTACGTGGTCGTCTTGTAGATAGTCAACTTCGTGCGGTGGCGAATTTTATTCGACCGAAGCGCCCTCCAGAGTCCAAAGTAGGCACGATTGATGGCGTGAATTTCTCTGCTGGTATCTTTTTCGGCGGTCACCAGTGACCCCTACCTCAATTTCGTCACCGTCAATCTGAACTCGGGGTGGGAGGCTAATTTTGTCTTCCCTAGAACCTCTTCCTTTCATGTATTTTGTCTTCGATGCGTTGATGGCAAGACCAATCCACCAATGATGTACGTTTCCGCCATCGTCTCAAAGTTTCGTGCCATGATGTCGATGTCAAGCGCGAAGCCAAGAAGCTGGATGGACTTCCTGAAGATCGTGCCACTCGTGTCTATCCCAGCTCTTCTTATCACACCTTCTAACGCGATGTTGAATAGTGGACACGAAAGTCCATCACCTTGCCGTCACCCCCTTCGAGATTCAAAGGGACTCGAGAGTGTCCCCGATACCCGAACAACGCACATCACTCGATCCATCGTTCATCCATAATCTGCCATAGCTTGTGCGGATTTGAAATCGATGAACAAATGATGTGTGGTCACGTTATATTCGCGCTATTTCTGCAGAACCTGCCGAATCGCGAAAATTTGGTCCGTGGTAGCGCGGGCACCCATGAATCCCGCCTGGTATTGCCCCGCGAACTCTCTTGCAAATGGTAACAGGCGGCGGCATAGAATTTTGGAGAGTATTTTGTAGGCGGCGCTCAGCAGTGTGATCTCGAGGTAGTTGCAGCAATCCAACTTGTCACCCTTTTTGTAGATTGGGCATACGACACCTTCCATCCACTCCTACGGTAATATCTCCTCCTTCAAAATCTTGGAAATTACCCAGTGCTTCACCGCCGTATTTTAATAGCTCACTTGGTAGTTGATCTACACCGGTTGCTTTGTTGTTCTTCAGTCGATCGATCTCCTCCTCAACTTCTTAAAGATCAGTGCTCCAAGGTCTGTTGCCGTGCCACCTTCATTTTCTGCTGCATCACCGTTGAAGTGTTCGTCATAGTACTGCTTCCAATTCTCAATCACCTCACACTCGTTCGTGAGAAGGTTACCGTTCAAATCCTTACTCGTAGAATTTCCGTGCGCAATGCACATTCTCGCCCGTGCTGCATTCTTCTTCTCTACTAATAGTGTGCATACGCCGTCAAACCAGTCATTTCTTCGGTCCGGGATCGCAGAACCTAGTGCCGCTTCAGCAGTACTACCTATAACGGAACGGATGTCCCTCCAGCCATCTTCAAGAGAAGCTGCGCCAAGCTGCTCTTCCGTAGGTAGTGCAGCTTCCATCTGCCATCGTAATTGCTCAATGTTGGGTGTTATCGAAGACAACAAATCAAGAAGACTGGCAACTTTGCCAGAATCCAAACGACAGATACAATGGCGCTGTGCTTGAGTGAAAATGGAAGCAACGTTTAGAAAAATGAGCAAATACACAAACCCTTCTTCTGAAGATGCAATCTTTGCTATCAAATTCGCGATTGTACCTGTCTCATAGCGTTCTTATGAGAAAATGGAAGAGTTGCCAGTCTTCTTGATGTGTTGTCTTCGGTGTTATGCTATCTATCACCGTACTTTGGTTACCGCACCAGTTTTCACGTCGCACCTCTTCACTTTGCTATTGCCGAGGCTACGCCGCCCAGCTGTGTCCATGTTTCAGCTGGTAGTCTTTTGTTATCATATGACTCGGGAGGCGTGAGGTTTGAACTTGTGAGGACCAGAGCTAGGTATTCCACTCCTTCCAGGTTAATATGTATAGGAGAAATGGCTCTAATGTTGGCCTATGGATCTAAGATTGGGCCCATCGCTAAAAATCAGCTAATTATCAATTTTATCTAGATGAACGCGTCATTAGGACAGTACTAATGGATATTTTTGGTCGCTATTGAAAATTTAGTCGATTGCTGAATTTATGTATGGGCCCAAATTAGGGGCATTTAGGCCGACATTACATCCATTTCCCCTATACATATAAAATTTACACACAAAACAGAGACATCTATCGGGGGTCCACGATCAAAGGGGCCACAAGATCAGTTATGTCACGCTACATCAATTCAAATACAAAAGATTCAACTGCTTTGCAAAGTTTATCAAGTTAAAAGTTATCCCTTTTTTCCCCCTTCCCAGGATGCCCGCGTCTGGATTCCCCATGCGGATAAGGTCTGGCAGGGTGCGGTAGTGCTCCGTGACTACAAGGAAGGCGACACCAGCCTGGAGCTGATAACGGATCGCAAGGAACCGCACACCGTACAGCTCAAGTCACCGAGCGATCTGCCTCACCTGCGCAACCCTGCCATCCTGATCGGACAGAATGATCTCACGGCGCTGTCCTACCTGCACGAACCGGATGTCCTGTACAATCTGGAGGTTCGTTTCTGCGATCGCCACAACATCTACACCTACTGCGGTATCGTCCTGGTGGCGATCAACCCGTACGCTGAACTGCCGCTCTACGGAGCGGACCTGATCCGTGCCTATCGGGGTCACTCGATGGGTGAACTGGAACCACATATCTTTGCCGTGGCGGAGGAAGCGTACGCCAAGCTGGAGCGGGAAAAGTGTGATATTAGTATTATTGTTAGTGGAGAGTCCGGTGCCGGGAAGACCGTGTCGGCCAAGTATGCTATGCGATACTTTGCCGCGGTTGGGGGCAGTGAATCGGAAACGCAAATCGAGAAGAAAGTGTTGGCCAGCAGTCCGATTATGGAAGCGATCGGAAATGCAAAAACGACACGAAACGATAACAGTTCCCGGTTCGGAAAGTTTACCAAGTTGCTGTTTACCAATAATCTGTCGATGATGAACCTGACGGGTGGCACCATGCAGACGTATCTTTTGGAAAAATCTCGGGTGGTGTTTCAGGCTCCTGGCGAGCGAAACTATCACATTTTCTATCAGCTGTGTGCGGCCAAGAAACAGTGGCCGGAGCTGATGCTGGACCATCAGGATAAGTTTCACTTTCTGAATCAGGGTCAGTCACCGGATATTGCGCGTGTATCGGATGAAGATCAGTTTCGGGAAACAACGAATGCGTTCAAGATTTTGGGATTCGACGGTGGGGAGATTAGTGACATCATGAAGGTACTGGCAGCGGTACTGCATCTGGGAAATGTCGAATTCTCTCACAAGTACAAGAAGCAATCGCAGGAAGTGGATCAGGAAGCGTGCAGTGTTGCGGTGAGTAGGTATAGTTTATTGGAGGCAATCATTTGGTACCCATCTCTTTCTCGCCCACAGTCCGACGATCTACATGTGAACATCTTCAGCGATATCCTGAGGCTAAACCGCGACGAGCTACGCAAATGGCTCATAACTCGACAGATCGAATCGTTCAACGATACGGTGCTGATTCCGCAGAGCAAATCCCAATCGGAAGCGGCTCGTGACGCTCTGGCAAAGCACATTTACGCCGAAATGTTCCAGTACATCGTTAACAAAATCAATCGCAACCTGGCCGGTGGCAAGAAGCAAAACTGTTTCATTGGTGAGTAAGATGACCGATTGTTGTTTTATCTATTCCATATTTTTTGCCCTTCCCCCTAAAAGGCGTGCTGGACATCTACGGCTTCGAAACGTTCGATATAAACTCGTTCGAGCAGTTCTGCATCAACTATGCAAACGAAAAGCTACAGCAGCAGTTCAATCAGCATGTCTTCAAGCTGGAACAGGAGCAGTACCTGAAGGAGGGAATCGAGTGGAAGATGATCGACTTCTACGACAATCAACCGTGCATCGATCTGATCGAAGCCAAGTTGGGCATTTTGGACCTGCTTGACGAGGAATGCCGAATGCCTCGCGGGTCGGACGAGTCCTGGGTGGGGAAACTGCAGGAAAAGTGCAGCAAATACAAACACTTCGATAAACCCCGGTTCGGGACGAGTGCATTTTTGATTAAGCACTTTTCCGACACGGTCCAGTACGAGTCGCATGGGTTTCTGGAGAAAAACCGGGACACGGTTTCAAAGGAGCTGGTGAACGTTCTGCGGATGTCGGAGATGAAGTTGTGCCATAAGCTGATGACTGTGCAGGATGAGGCACAGTCGGAGGCAACCGAAATGGGGAAGACCGGGGTGAAGTTGGTCATTAGTGCCGCCAAGAGTCAGGTGAGGATATGAACCCTTTTTGGGATAGCGTGTGTGACGTTCTGTCTAATGTGATTGTCCGTACAATTTGCTTTTCGTTTTATTTTCTTGTGTGTCGATTGCTGCAGCCGGCTGATAGGAAAAGAAAGGTTAGTATCGTATTTGAATGTTTATAAATATCAACCTATATTGTTTCTGCAGAACAGAATAATAACGAACAACTGAGCAGTCGTTTGCCAATTTTACGTGTTTCAGAGTGCAATTTATGTCTCTTGTCCGTTATTTTATGTGTTTTATCCTATCTGCGCGTTCAAGTTGTTGGTTATGGTGGTACTATTTGATAGCATTGCAGCAGCAGTTGTACTAATCGGATTTTCGTCCCTTTGTTTCCATTACCTTTTCTTCTGTTCTTCTGAAGCCAATGACCCAAAAGCAACAGAGGAAAACAGTCGGCTCGCAGTTCCGGGAAAGCTTGACCCTGCTGATTACTACGCTTCACAATACGACGCCACATTACGTGAGGTGTATTAAGGTAGGTCTTGAATCATTTGCCATAAATATCCTTATCTGGTTTCTGAAAACATCAAAGAAATTCTTCTGAAAACATCAAAGAAATGATCTTGTGATGCTGTTCCAAAGATCAAATAATAGGTAGTTTTTTTGAGTCGTTTGTGGGCGTTTCCAATCCATATTTTTTTGTTTATCTGAATTTTAACTGATTCGATTGCACTGGGTCATATATAACTCCTACACGAAACCAGCCGTCAAAAATCACCGATCAGAGAAAATCATGTGATTTCCTTTGGAAAAATTGTTCTTAACAGTGAAGACAACAAATCAAGAAGACTGACAACTCTTCCATTTTCTCATACGAACGCATTCGATAGCAAAGATTACATCTCATATTTCTGTGCGTTGCTTCCACCTTCACTCAAGCGCAGTGCTATTGTGTCTGTCGCTTGGATTCTGGCAAAGTTGCCAGTCTTCTTGATAAGATATAATAGGGTAAATACCTTTACCTATTAGCCAGTCCCTTAGCTCAGCCGGTAAAGGCGCAGCTGCAAAGCAAGCCCTCGCTGGAGGTGGCTGGGTTCGATTCCCGGTCCGTTCTAAGAATTTTTCGGGTTGGAGAATTTCTCGACATCCTTGGGCAAAAGAGTATGATTGTGTACATGTGCATAATTGCTTTGTTAACAATGGCTTTAGCCGTCGATTTCACGCCAATAAAAGCTCGCGCACGAAAATTATTGACACCAACAGATAGAGGAATGTTTCCTCTACCAGAGCATTTTTAATTTGGAGGATGAGCTTTTATTTGCCAGAAATCAGCGGCCAAAGCCTTTGTTTACAATAGCAATTACGCCCCTTTGAAATGTTAGCAATTCATTGCATTTGTTCTCGAGATTTTCTGGATAAGCCTTTCCTCCAACATCCACAGGAAATTCATATACTTAACTTATAACTTATATAACTTATATAAGTTATAACCTATGTATGAAACTACACAAACTACCTTCATGCATGTTAAACATTTTAAACCTTCCATACGGGGTAATGCAACCATTTATATCCATCAACATTCCAGCCCAACGAAGACAAGGCCGCCTTCCGATGGGAGGCACCGAAAATCGTCCAACAGCTGCGGGCCTGCGGTGTGCTGGAGACGGTCCGCATCTCGGCCGCCGGTTTCCCGTCCCGCTGGAGGTACGAGGACTTTTACGATCGCTATCGGTTGCTCTGCAAGCGCGTCCAGATCATCGACTGGAACGAGAAGGCCACCTGTGCGAACATCGTGCGCAACTGGCTACCCGACACGGACAAATACCGGCTGGGCAACACGCAAATCTTCTTCCGCGCCGGGCAGGTAGCTTATCTGGAACAGCTGAGAAGCGACCTGCGCAAGAAGCACATCGTCAAAGTGCAGTCACTGATAAGAAGATTTATCTGTCGAAACAAATATCTCCGACTGAAGCGCACTGCTCTCGGGCTGCAGCGACACGCCAGAGGGATGTTGGCTAGGAAGTGAGTTTCAATTTCCAATTTTGTGTTGTAAGTTTGATTCGAGTCATTTTTTTTTTTTCAGGCGAGCGGATAACCTTCGGAAGAATCGTGCAGCGATTACGATTCAACGCTACATGCGAGGTTGGCTGCAACGGACCAGGTATCAACGAATCCGGCGGACTGTACTTGGATTACAAACCTACGCCCGTGCAATGCTTGCCCGTCGGAAGTTCAAGCAAGCACTGGACAACTACAAAGCAACGGAAATTCAGCGCATCTGTCGAGGCTACCTGGCTCGAGAACGGACCAGGCAGCGTCTGGCGAATATCGTCAAGTGTCAAGCAACAATACGCCGATTCTTGGCACGTCGAATGTACAAGCGCTTGAAGGCGGAGGCCCGAACCATTTCCCACATTCAAAAGATGTACAAAGGTTTGGAGAACAAGATCATCGAACTGCAGCAGCGCTACGATCAACTGTCGAAGGAAAATACTGGTCTGAAGAAGCAGAATGCCGATATTCCGGAGATGCGCCAGAAGATGGCAACCATGAAGCGACAGGAGAACGAGCTGAAGGCTTTGAAGCTGCAGTTGGAGCAAAAGGACGAAAAGTTGCTGATAGTGATCAAACAGTTGGAAAACGAACGGGACGAGAAGATGATTCTGCTGGAAGAGAAGCAAAAGGAAGAGGAAGATCGGCTGAAAGAACGGGCCGTTATGGAGCAGGATCTCGCAAAAATGCGAGAGCAGGTCAATGAAATCAGCGACGTAACCAAACTGGAACGGGATCGACTCCTATCGCAAGCGGACTCCAAAGAAATCCACTCAGCTTACCAACGAATGGTTGAGGATAAAAATCAGCTAGAGAATGAGAACAACAATTTGCGACACGAACTGCGTCGGTTGCAGCATATCATCAGCAACTCTCACGAGCTGAAGACGCACTCGCGGTCGGTTAGTAACGCGTCCAGCACCAACGAGGAGGACTTCGGTTACAATTCGGGCAAGAATACGCTGGAGATTCGACGATCGCCGCTCTCGTGCGAAGGTGAAGTTAACAATAATTTGAAGCGAAATAGCAACGGCGGTAATGTTAGTACAAGTGTTCCTAATACTGTGCCGGTGGTTTCACCAGCGGCCGTAAGGGTGGCGATAGCGTCTGCCATTACTACGACCGTTCCTAGTAGCGGGACGACCGCAGTCAGTAGTCCTCCGCCATCTATGGGTAATGTTTCTAGTCAAAGTAGTATTACAGAACTGCCACGAGTGCCGGCGAAGGACTCTTCGTTTGATTCGCTCGAACGGCTGCTGAACAGGACCCCCTCGATGTCGTTCAACCACCTGCAAGGTAGGGAGAATGTTACTAATTCGATTATTTCGTGCGTGGTGGCCTAACTAGGAGATCAGTACTAATCAGTGTGTGTTTCTAACTCTTATTGCGTAAGTTGAGAAGCGGTTGGGAGGATCTGAAGCGGCACGGGGTCTGCCTAGTATAGATGTTTATATTGTTTTACTTTTCAAGTTTCATCCATGTTGTTTAACCAAACTTTTTTGTATATGGTAGCTTGGAGATTCCTGTACAGGAAGGCTTTCAATATCCTCAGCGGTTTAGGAACATATGACTGATTTTTGTTGCATAGGAGTCAACTCAAAATTTTCAGATGAAAGCGTGTCACATAGGTCCGACTTCTTCACTTGCGCTTAAATCTTAAACCAGGTTTACCCATATGATTAAACCTGGTTTAAGGCGCAGGTGAAGAAATCGGCCCTTAGGATATTAAGCATAGCTCTGGAATATCTTAAGCAATCGCACATAAGCTAAATGATGGCAGAATTACTCAATAGCGATATTTACAAACATCTCAAAAGTCTAAAAAACAAATAATCCTTCTAGAGTTTTAGGTGAAAAACTCCCTGGCGTAACTTAACCAGCACCGGACTCAGTAGGTCGCCACCAAAAAATTCCAGATGGGCGAAAAAATTGCTCCAATGTTCGATGGACATCTACGAAGTTCCGTCAACTTTTTCAAGTAGGACATCCATGATCTTCTCCAAGCTTCAAGAAAGACCTCGAACCTTTTCTACGAATTTTCCTAAACATCTTTACGAAACAAAGTTTCCAAAATTTCCAGTAAATTCCCAAATCAATCCCTGAAGTTCTAAGAAGAATGCTGAATTTTTACAATACTCCATAAGCTTCTATTAAATTCCCTAACTTCTACGAAGTTCTCTGAGCTTCTACAGTTTTCGTTGAACTTCTAACGAAGTTCCTCGAATTGCTAAGTTCGCTTGACTTCTACAAAGGTTTTTGAAGTCCTATGAAGTTCCCTGTTTTTTAATTCTCTTGATCCTGCGCAGGTCCCCTTAAGTTCTACAAAGTTTCCTGAATGTGTACGTAATTTCCTGATCTATTTTAAGTTCATTGAACATTGACGAAGTGTCCTGAAACTAAAACAAGAACTTATATGAAATTTATTAAAATTAACCCTCCGTTACTCGCGCTGTTGTACTTTGTACAACACACATGAGATTTCCATTGCCATTTTGTTGCTGAGTTACCAAGCGATCTGAAACCAACGAGTATTCCTCAAAAAAACTTATTTCGATCTAAAAAAACTAAACTTTGATTACAGTAAACACCTAAAAATGCGGATAATAGGGAAAATGTAAATCGAAACCGCGTAAACTGTGACCATACTACGTGGGATTTGACTTAATTGATTACAACATGGAATATATAGAGATCCTGACCAGATAGAAAGTTACTGTATTTAACAAAGTTTTTCAGAAGGTCAAAACCTATTGCTTGATGCTCAATAGTTCAGATTTTGCTCACTACGCGACGCTAGTATACACGTGAAATTCTCATATAAAATATCTCGAGTTCCCAACCAGATAGAAAGGTACTGTCTTCGGCATAGTTGTTCAGCAGGTCAGGGCTTTTTCGCAGGTGGACAGTAGTTCAGAGTTTTCTCACTTTGCGGCGCTACTATACATGTGAAACTCTTGCATATAAAATATCTCTAGATCCTGATCAGATAGAAAGTAAATGTCTTCGGCAAAGTTTTTCAGGAAATCAAGATCTTTTTGTTGGATGACAATAGTTCAGAATTTTCTCGCTATGCGGTGCTAGTATACACGTGCCTTTCTCGCATATTCAATAGTTCGAGATCTTGATCGGCTAGAAAGTTGCTGTCTTCGGCAAAGTTGTTTTAGGGGGTCAAGACTTTTTGGCTGGTGGACAGTAGTTCAGAATTTCAGAACATGTGAAATTCTCGCATATAAAATATCCCAAGTTCTTGACCAGATAGAAAATTACTGTCGTCGGCAAAGTTGTTCAGGATATCACAAAATTTTTGCTCGTTGACAGTTGTTCAAAATTTTCTCACTACGTAGCGCTAGTGAAATGTAAAATTCTCGCCTGTGATATATCTCGAGATCCTGACCAGATAGAAAGTTACTGTCTTGAACAAAGTTGTTCAGGAGGTTAAAGCCTAGAATTTGTGTGAAAATTCTGAACTACTGTTCACCAGCCAAAATACCTTGACCTCCTGAACAACTTTGTCGTAGACAGTAACTTTATATCTGATCAGGATCTCGAGATATAGTATATGCGAGAAGTGTACATGTATACTAATGCCACGTGGTGAGAAAATTCTTAACTACTATTTACCAGCCGAAAAGGCTTTGACCTCCTGAACAACTTTGTCGAAGACAGTAACTTTCTATCTGGTCAGGATCTCGAAACAACCCACATGCGAGAATTTCACGTGTATTCTGGGTAGTGAGAAAATTTTGAACTACTGTCCACTAGCGAAATCTATCTGATCAGAATCTCGAGATATTTTACATGCGAGAATTTTGCGTGTATACTAACGCTACGTAGTGTGAAAATTCTGAACTATTGTGCACTAAGCAATAGGCATTTACCTCATGAACAAGTTTTTCTAAGACAGTAACTTTCTACCTGTTCAGAATCTCAAGCTTAGCATACGCGGGAATTGTACACGTTTACTAGCGCCACGTGGTGAAAAAATTCTAGGCTACTGTCCACCAGCCAAAAACTCTTGACCCCCTGAACAAGTTTGCCGAAAACAGGAACTTTCTATCTGCTCAGGATCTCGAGCTATTGTATATGCGAGAATTGCATGTGTATACTAGCACCAAGTAGTGAGAAAATTCTGAACAACTGTCCACCAACGAAAAGATCTTGACTTCCTGAACAACTTTGCCAAAGACATTTACTCTCTATCTGGTCAGGATCTAGTGATGTATCACATGCGAAAACTTAACGTGTATACGAGCACTACCTAGTGAGAAGATTTTGAACAACTGTTAACCAGCAAAAAGGCTATGATCTCCTAAACAGCTTTGCCTAAGACAGTAACTTTCTATCTGGTTAGGATCTAGAGATATTTTATATTGGAATTTCACGTGTATACTAGCGCCGCATAGTGAGACAATACCGAACTACTCTCTTCTGCAGCCAAAAATACTTAACCCCCTGAAAAAGTTTGCCGAAGACAATAACTTTCTATCTGCTCAGGATCTCGAGCTATTGTATATGCGAAAATTGCACTTATACACTAGCGCCACGTAGTGATAATTTTCTGAACTACTTCACCAATGAAAAGGCCTTGACCTTCTGAACAACTTTGCCGAAGACAGTAACTTTCTATCTGGTCAGGATCTCGAGATATTTTATATGAGAATTTCACGTGTATACTAGCGCCACGTATTAAGATAATTTTGAACTATTGTGCACCAAGAAATAGGCTTTGATCTCATCAAAAACTTTGTCGATGACAGTAAACATCTATCTGGTCATGATCTCGAGATATATCACATGCGATAATTTCACATGTAAAGGGTGATACGGTCAAAATTTGGTCAGTATCAACTTGACGTATTTCTTTCAATTTTGCATTTAAAAAACCTGAACACCCCTCATTTTGAAGGTGTGTGTGTGTAGAATGTTGCTCCTATTTTGATTTTGGAATTCACTCTTCAGTTGTCAAAATGCCGTCCAAGCAAGAAGAGCAGCGTATCAAAATTTTGCTCGCGCATCGCGAAAATCCGAGCTACTCGCACGCAAAGTTGGCAAAATCGCTAAAAGTTGCCAAATCAACCGTTACAAATGTAATTAAAGTGTTTGGGGAACGTTTGTCGACAGCCAGGAAGTCTAGATCGGGGGGAAATCGAAAACCGGAAGCCGCTGAGACGACAAAGAGAGTTGCCGGTAGTTTCAAGCGAAACCCTAACCTCTCTCTCCGAGATGCCGCAAATAAGCTGGGTGTATCGTCTACAACCGTGCATCGAGCCAAAAAACGAGCCGGACTATCGACTTACAAGAAGGTAGTGACTCCAAATCGCGATGATAAACAAAATACGACGGCCAAAGCGCGATCCCGGAGGCTGTACACGACGATGCTGACGAAGTTTGACTGCGTGGTAATGGACGACGAAACCTACGTCAAAGCCGACTACAAGCAGCTTCCGGGACAGGAGTTTTAAACGGCAAAAGGAAGGGGAAAGGTAGCAGATGTTTTCAAGCACATGAAACTGTCAAAGTTCACAAAGAAATATCTGGTTTGGCAAGCCATCTGTACCTGTGGCTTGAAAAGCAGCATTTTCATAGCTTCCGGGACTGTCAACCAAGAAATTTACGTGAAAGAGTGTTTGAATAAACGTCTGCTGCCTTTCCTGAAGAAACACGGTTGTTCCGTACTGTTTTGGCCGGATTTGGCATCTTGCCATTACGGTAAAAACGCCATGGAGTGGTACGCCGCCAACAACGTGCAGGTGGTTCCCAAGGACAAGCCAGAGCTCCGCCCAATTGAGAAATACTGGGTTATTGTCAAGCGGAACCTAAAGAAGACCAAAAAAACTGCTAAGGGCGAGCAGCAGTTCAAGGCAAACTGGCTTTCTGCGGCGAAGAAGGTGGACTAGGTGGCTGTACAAAATCTGATGGCAGGGGTCAAGCGTAAGGCCCGGCAATTCGGATTTGGAAAAGCGGAAGCCTAACTGAATATTTTTCCTGAATTTTATACTAATTGAACTTGAAAAAGAAATTTAATTTGATTTTTTAAATAAACGATTTCACCGATTTACACGCGTTTTCCCTTGACCAAATTTTGACCGTATCACCCTTTATTCTAGCGCTACGTAGTGAGAAAATTCTGAACTACTCTCCACCAGTGAAAAGGTTATGATCTCTAGAACAACTTTGCCGAAGACAATAATATTCTAGCTGGTCAGGATCTCGAGATTTTCAATGTTGTAACCAATTAAGTCAAAACCCACGTAGTACGGACACCGTTTACGCGGTTTCCATTCACATTTTCTCTATTATCTGCATTTTTTTGGGGGTTAACTGTGATAAAAGTTTAACTTGTTTAGTTAAAAACATGTTTTTTAAGGAATACCCGTTGTTTTCATATCGATTGGTAGCTCGGCTGCAAAATGGCAATGGAAAACTCATGTGTGTTGTACAAAGTACAACGCGCGAGTACTCGTGTTACAAAAGTTGGCACGAGTAACGGGCGGTTAAGGGAACTTTTAACTTCAACGAAGTTTCCCAAACTTGTATAAGCATTTTTACAAAGCAACCTGATTTTTTTTAAATGCTCTGAAGCTCTACGAAGTTCCCCGAATTATATTAAATTTCGATGTCTCCTGAACATCTACAAAGTCCCTGAAATATTAGAAAGTCCAATGAAGTTATAAAAAAATCCCTGAACTTCAACAAAGTTCCCCGAATTTCGGCAGCATTCGCCAAATTTCTCTTAAGTTTGCTAATTTTCAACAATGTTCCATGAAGTTCTACAAAGTTCTCTACACTTCTACAAAATTTGCTAAAGTTGTACAACATTCTCTGACGTTTTGTTAAATTCAATTAGCTTTTACAAAGTCAACTAAACTTCTGTAAAATTTGCTGCACTTCTAGAAAGTTTCCAGAACTTCAACTCAGTTCAATGAATGTTAACGAAGTTTTCGGAACTTCTACGATGTTTCTCGAAAATATATGAAGTTCCTTGACATTCTAGACCGTTTCCGTTACTCTCTGAGCTTTTGGCTTCTACAAAGTTCTCTGAAGTCAAGCAGGTTGTCTGCTACCTGGAAAATCCTGGAAAGCATGGAGTCTTCAGGTAATTTTATTTTCCCTGAAAAAAACTGGGAATTCTCAGAGAATTTTCAAATTCCTTGGGCAAGCAAATTTTTATAAATATTGAAGCACGTCAGAATTTTAAGAGAGGTTCCACTCAGTCTATTAGTATACTCCTAGACTGGATAAAAATTTCTTCGATTTTCCTCATATTCGAGCAGATTTTCGAGGGAAAGCGAACAACTGCCATTGTCTCTATTTCTACTTTTTCCATATGGGACTGATATGCGAATATAGGCAGAGCAGCTCAACTCCAGACGAAACTAGAACCGCACTACCATTCATACTGGCGACAACGCTCTGACGAGACAACGAAACCTTACCCCCAAGCTCCTCCCCTGATCCTATCCTTCGACAATGTACCTCTCTAACCTCGAGTAAGCCGCGAGTATTCGGCCCAACTCCTACTAGACATAGAATTAAGTGAATTTTGTTACAAACAAAGAACAATGAACTATCGGCTCCGTAAAGCTAACGCGATTGAGCCTTCCAAATAAACATACTAGTTAAATTAAGGCAGAGCAGCTCTTTCGTGTTTTAGTCAATGTGTATATTAATATGTTAATCTATTATGCCAAACGACTTTAGGTCAAACGGCCTTAGGGGAGATGCATAAATGACGTAGCATTTTAAAGTGACCGCGTCATTTAGAAAAATACACAAGATACTGTTCCATCAAAAGTAAAGAAACGTTTGACGTTTGTTTACGTTTCATGAAGCACTAACTTTGGTCCTCCTCCCCCTTATAGTGTATTTTTCTACATGGCTGGTCACCCTAAAATGCTACGTCATTTATGCATCTTCTCTTATGCCAAACGGCTTTAGGCCAAACTCATTCCCCCCATAAAGATTAAAAGGAAATTCGTAGGAATTCCATTTGTATTGGGAGGGGGAGGATTCTGGAGAAATTATTTTGTCAGTACAGATTCAATTACAAGAAAGATCAGAGATCTTCTAGAAGGTAAAGTCTTCCACCAGATATTATGTTAACTTCTCTAGACTTCCCCTAAAAGTCCCTATAAATATTCCGAAGATCTCCGGACCCCTTAAAGAGGTCTTCAGGACCTTTATTTAGTTCATGAAAACTTCACTGAAAGTCCTCTTAGACGAGTCCAACTACAGAATATCCTGAAGGAAACAATAGACAGAAATTGTGTAGTTTAACCTTATTAACCCATCGTCGTCCATTAACCTGAATGCCGGAAACCTTGGCTGACTAACATTACGCTGTCCTAATATCAAATTCCATCCCCCGATACACTCCATACTAATGTTTCTCAACTCGCTAGACCATTCCACACCCAACAATTCGGAATTGCCGGAGAAGGACCAGACGACCATCATCCTGAAAATGCGCAAACTCTTCGAAGAGGAGAAATCCAAGAGCGATCAGCTCCGCAAGGAGATCGCTCGGTTCCGCAAGAGTTCCTCCTTCAGTACGGAGGATTCGATCCGTGCCTCGGAGCTGGAGGTGGAAATCGAAAAACTACGACAGGATTACAACCTGCTGAGGAATAGCATCAAGCGCGGAGTGGAAGATCGCGAACTGGAGGCACAACACAATGCACTGCAGGAGGAGCTGAAACGGCGCCGCGATGAGTGCATCTCGTTGAAGGCCGTCCTCGCGCAGCAGAGTCATTCGCTGCGAACGCTGGGTCAGTCACAGATCAATCCGAACGGCGATGCCAGCAGTATGAGGATTCACGACGAAGGCGAACTGATGGAAGCGTTCCAGGCGCAGAAGTTGGTCAATAGGCAGCTGGAGTCGGAACTGCGGGCGATGATGGATGCCAACAACGAGACCCTGGTGGAGAACAACAAGATCACGGAAGCGCTGAGGAAGGAGCTCCAGGAGCTTCAGTTGATTCTGCAAGGAAGACTCGAAGGTTCCAACGAGGACAACTTGGACACGCTGAAGCAAAGTGATCTGTACTTGAGGCATGAGTTGAAGAAATCGACCTCGGCTTACGTAGATCTGCAGGAGCAGGTGAACGACTTGCTGGCCAAGATCCATGAGCTGACGAAGAAGAACAACATTCTGTCGAACCGGTTACGGGACCATGGTCTGAACGATTCTATTCTGATGAACGAAGAGTTCCAGTCGATGGTGATGGTGAAGAAGAAGGCTCAATCGTACCAGGGTATACTGAAATACCGGCACGAAGACGAGAACAAGATCATCCAGCGACTGGTGACGGACCTGAAACCGAGAGTGGCAGTCACGCTAACTACGAGTTTACCAGCTTATGTGGTGTTTATGTGCATCAGATATACCGATTTGGTCAATACGGATCAGCATGTGCGATCGCTGCTGACGCGGTTTGTGCAGATGATCAAGCGGCTGTACAAGCTGCCCAACGTTGCCGAAGTGCGAGTTATGTGGCTAGTCAATACCCTTACGTAAGTTCCGTATGTCGAGTTTGAAATTTTCCAAATAATATTTGTTCTGCTTACCCTCCCCACACAGCCTACACAATTTGTTGAAGCAGTTTGGCGGCTATCCGGAGTACATCCAGTACAACACCGACGTGCAGAACCAACAGCAGCTGAAGAACTTCGACCTGTCGGAGTACCGGCAGGTGATCTACGAGATGATCATCCTGATGCACGGTGTTCTGCTGCGGCAGATCCAGGAATCGATCAAGCAATTCATAGTGCCGGCCATCCTCGATCACGACGAAACGGCCCGCGGCAAGAGCCGGGGCCGAACGATGTCGCTCGACATGTCGCCGGATCAGAGCCGGGAACCGAAGTCGCTGGTTCAGCAGTTGGACATCTTCTACAAACATCTGACCAGCTTCGGCATGGAGAACTACTACATCGAGCAGATCTTCAAACAGGTAGGGGGAAAACGGGGCACATTTAGAACGGGGAGCAATTTTCAAGACCGTTACAATGTTTTTAAGATTCTGGGTTGAGGGGATTTTTTTACACTATTGGACAGGTTTGGTTTGGGCCGAAGGGTCTCAGATTTTTAAAATTGTCTCTATAAAATCCTAGTGCTGAAATTATCTTGACACTCCGAAGACGATGCCTCAGGTAAAATGTGTAACGGCAAAATGTTTTTTTAAACATTGCAAGTTTGCCGTTAAACAACAAACCGGAGGCATCGTGTTCGGAGTGTTAAAAAGCCACCGGATTTCTCCTAGAATATTCCCAAACCTCTCCTGGATGTTCCCTGAACTATCCCTGGAAAGCTGTCTAACCGTTTACATAATTCCTCCAAACTTCCCTTGAAGATCTTGGGCTCATAAAAATGAGATCTCGATAGAAAATATTTGATCTGAGATTATGATTTTTCTTAGTTAATTTGTCATTGTTTTGCCTTCTTTGTAACAGTAGTTTCGAGTTCTCGGCAGCTATTCTGCGAGTCGTGTCTAATTCTCTGTCATTGGTTAGTTGACAAAAGTAACGTTATGTGAAAAAAATACAAGAAATAAGAAAGACACTGTAGTTAAAACAATTGCCAGATCTTCTGAAACTTAGATTAACGGAGAATGAATGATGCAACCGTTCAGAAAAGTGATGCATGTATTTTGTTTTATTCTCTTCGCAGCTCATGTATTACATCTGCGCCGTGGCGGTCAACAGTCTGATGCTGAGAGGTGATCTGTGCATGTGGAAAACGGGCATGAAGATTCGCTACAACGTCAGCTGTTTGGAGGGATGGATCCGAACGATGGCCATGGATCCGGATGTGGTCAAGCCGCTGGAGCCGCTGATCCAAATTTCCCGCATCCTGCAAGCCCGCAAGACGGAGGAGGACGTTCAAACGTTGCTGGAACTCAGCACCTGCCTAACGACGGCGCAAATTTTGAAGGTATGTTTGGTGCTCTGCTTTTCGGTTGCTTCTTCCGGAATGATCTTAAAACTTTACCGACTAAATTCCAGATCATCAAATCCTACACCACGGACGATTGCGAGAACGAAATCAAACCGATCTTCATCGAGAAGCTGACGAAGCAGCTGAATGAGCGTTCCAACCAGAGCGAATCGGACACGTACATGATGGACGAAGAGATCGTCAGCCCGCTGGTCGTGGTGTACAAGTACAGCGAGGTCAATCTGGAGGAAATTGACGTCCCCGAGGAGCTGAACCTGGACGGTTTAGTCACGAAGATTTAAACGTGGGCAAGTTCGATGCGAGTGACGCATTCCACATATTTTAAATAGGTAAATTGACATATATACCGTAGATGCAAAGGCAGAACTTAGACCAAGAACGTGCAAATCGTTAGAGAAATTGTTATTCAAATTCAAGAGAGTTTATCGACTTCCGAAGGAATATCAGAGAGACACATATTTACACGATTCGTTTGTTTCTATTTTTCGTGTACTTGAATGCATCCTGAGTTACTTTTAGGAAAGTACTATAATTGGCCTTCATCATGCTTCGGCTAAATCGATTCAAAATACATACAAAACCAACGGTTTTTGCCTGCTAAGGACAACGTTGTTTGGAACTGCAAGTGCATTTATATTACCTGTCGGGCTGGTGACCCTGAACTCAACGCATTTCCCAACTGTATTATAGATTTTTGTTTATGTTTTCCTTCCACTGAATCGATTGTGTAAGTACCTAAAACTTATATATACACATATATATGCTATTGTTATTTATTACTGGAATGCAAGTCTGAATAGGAGTGTACGAAAAATACGGTTGAAAAATTTATTAAATACTGACTTCATTGCAAGCACCAAAAATATAGCCACATTTCACAAGTAGCAAAGCAAAGTAAAGCGAAAAGGAAACAATAATCAATGCTGTAACGTAACGAAAGTACATCAAATTTGCGCTAAGCAACCATGTTGAAAGAGAACAATAGTATACCCCCTGTTATAGAGCATTTATCGTGATAGAAGAAATTTACTCTGTACTTACCAGCTGTGAGTAGTGAGAGAACGCTAAACTAATAATAAAAAGGATACATAGGTACCTACCAGAATGTTAGTGAAATCAAAAATGAGCTTTACCTGCTGTGAATGCAGTTTGTGAGAAATGTCCCTAAATCACTTAACCAGAAGGCAGACTACAGTGGGCTGCAGACGATGATCCTCCGAAAAGTAAAGAGTTTTTCTGGGAACTGCGACCAGTAATTTGATCGATAGTAGTACAACCCGTGCCCTTAGTTTAGTGCATGTTGTATTACTCCATCACTATTGAGAAATGATGAAGTATTCGATTTTGATACAGTTGTCATTCTTGCATTTATCGCAAGGATCCGACTCTAATTGAAAGTTCCCGCTCTTTATACCCTTCGGAGTGTTGAAAACACCCTCCAAAGGCGCGTTCCTTTGTCAGTCAAAATTGGATTCCTTAGCAACAAAATTAAGGACACCGATAATGACCATGCATCAGAACCCTAGTCTTAATTACTTCAAACGAGGGACCAACTAATAGAAGATTAGGAATCACATAGATGAAGACTAACTAACTCATTTTTCCTTGTTTCAAGATCATCCTCGGTGGACAAAGTCGAGTCTTGTCACCATCAACAAGGCATAACAAGTAACAAGGATTTTCAATCTGGTTCTTGTAGATATTTTGATTGAAAAAAAAAACCAAATAATATACCTAATACTTAAAAAGCACAACAATTTATCTATCTCTCTATTTATATAGGGGTAAGAGGGGCATAGTGAACAGGTGGGGCATAGTGAGCATCCCGTGCACCAGCCGGCCGTTCGGAACAAATTGATTGGTTGTAGGATCAATATCATAATGATATTGAACCTACTACCAGTTGATTTGTTTCATGCAGCCAGAGATCCAGGGATGCTCATTATGCCCCACCTGTTCACTATGCCCCTCATACCCCTATATAAAAATGAATTTCTGTCTGTCTGTCCGTCTGCTTTTCTGTCTGACCCTTATAGACTCGGAAACTATTGAACCGATCGGCGTGAAAATTTGTATGCAGGGGTTTTTGGGGCAGGGAAAGCTTCTTATGATGGTTCGATACCCCTCCCTCTTTGTAAGAGGGGGGGGGGCTCCCATACAAATGAAACAGAAATTTCTGAATAACTCGAGAACTAGTCAAGCAAATGGAACCAAATTTGGCATGTGGAGGTCATATGAGGTAGCCCCTTAGATAATTGGCGCATAAACTCAAGCTAATATTGAATCCCGAGAAAGGCCGGGCACACTCAGCTAGTATCACATAGGGGAATTTACGTATTCTCGGCAACCTAAGAAGCGACCTTCTTTCTATAGCCTTTTTCTCTAAGGAACGCACACATATGCAGTATTGGTTTGTTTAGAATCTTTTGCTGCCATCTGCTCTAACAATTTCAGTCGAAAGAATTGTCAAAAACTGTTTTGAAACGCTTTTACAAAGCTCCAATCTTCTCTAGTGAGAGCGAGTATTGTCGGCAACCAGTTTTTCTTCGGCAACCGTTCCATTTGAACTGCATGTAAATCTGCTGTTCTATTATCGGCAACTTGAAATCAGCTACAATTTGCAGTGCGTGTGTTGCATTTCAAGAAAACCTTGCTAGATTGCTTTTTCTCAGTGGTAAAAATATAGTCAAATTGAAGCTGAAAGCATAAAGAATCGTTTGCATGCATTCAGCGAAGTGTTTTCGTAAGAAAATCCAGTGAAAATAGTGTTTCAATTTGGGTTGCCGAAAATAGTCTGTCATGCCGAAGCCGTCATTTCCCCTAAATAAGAAATGCTTGAGAAAATTCAAATTTTTTTATTTAAAAAAAAACATTGAAGTATATTTTACCTGCGTTTAAAGTACATTAAATCGAAAAAAAAATTATTTTTCAATGAATATTACTAAAAATGTCAAATATCTCGCTTGAAAGTAGGCTGCGGATTTTTGACGTCTTCAGAAGAGTTGTGCAAGAAGTCAAAACAAACAACTTTACCTGAAAAACTTTTTCGCTATGGTGCTTATATACAAAGTTAGAGGTGGCCCCACCTAAGCGGCGTGATCTAGAACTAAAATATTGACGTCCTTAGATAGTCCTTAACCACCTGAACAACTTTGTCAAAGGCACCAAGCCTCTAAGATGCAAGGGTGGCGCGCTACGATTTTTGTCCAACAAAAGTACCATTCTGCCCTATGTGCGTCGTGGTGACGTTACTCTTCATTTGATTTGCCCAGATAGTCACGTCACCCCGACTTGAGTTTTATCACTTTACTAGTTACAAAAGCTACTAATTTAAATTTTTACATATTAAAATTATGTCATCCTTAGTAGGGTGGCCATCTTGCCTTGTCTATCCCTATCGCATATTTGTACATGGTAATTCATCGTACGTGCGCTGCCGTACTTGCTACGTGTTGACGCTTGGTCAAACTAATATATGCGTCCGGATAATTTGCATGTTACAATATTGCAACAATTTATCTAGCTTCCTAACCAATAGTGCCGCATAAATACTGGCGGAAACCGTTTGGTGGTTTTGTTTGTCTAGTTGTCGTCTTCTATTTACTTATATGTAAGAATGACTTAAGCCTACGCGCCTCAACTCAGATGATCGGTTTACGGAAACTCCCCGACCTGGCCAACGCTGAAAAACGATCTTCGTACCACACTTCCGTTTGTCTTTCAGCACCTCATATCTCATAATACATCATCCAGAATGGGCATCGTCATCTTCTGTGGAGTTCAGTAGCTACCTACCTTGATTTGCTTTCCGTACTGATTACCAATGCTACTAGCCGTACCTATCGACCCATCAACTCATGGACCGGGGACCAACGGCTTTATTTCCCGTTATTGATGCCTCAGAAAATCCCAACGGCGCAGACTGGGATGGAACCCAAGCCCTTTGGAGTGAGATGCAGTTACGTTTACCACAACACCACCGGCGCCGCTGCGCACAGGTGGTTTGCATACGATTAATGATTTAATTAATTCAACTACTGCCATAGTTGCATTATTTGAGGCATTCGATTCAACCGCACCATCATTTGTACTAATTAAGCCGCTCATTTGAATATGAATTGTGGCTTCGCGTCTTCAAGTGCACGACCTACCCGACTTCTCTCATTAAAATTTCATATGCAACAATCAATAGTCATGTAGTTACTGTTTGCAAAGTATGTGTTAAACTATGTATTTTCAGCTAGATCTCGTTTTTGGCAACACAACTGCTTCATTTATGTTGCCAAAATCGAGAACTTTTTCGACATGTCACAATTGATTGCTAAAATGCCTTAACAATATGAACATCAACAAGTGAATCTTATTGAAAATCTATTGAAAAATGTATTTTTTACCAAAATCGAGATTTGCTCGACTTGTGCTAAAAAACGTTATTAGGACTGTATCGAAAATAAGCTGTAAACAATTTTTTCTTTCTAAATCCATAAAAAAATATTTTAAAACTAAGAAAAGGGGTTCTTCAATTATGGATGTCATGTCCTTTTCTCTAACTGCATTAATTTTCATAAATTATATTAAATCGATATTTAATCGATGGCATAATAAGACATCTACCGGCTCTACAAATTGGTATTGAGCCCAGGGATTTTTCTTTAACATAACCAGGGACTTCAGAGAACATCGTACAAATTTAGGAAACTTATTATAAATTTTGGGAACTTCATAAATCTACAGACAAATTCGTAGAAACAAGGAACTTGGAAAAGTTCTGAAAACTGCGTAGAAGTGGAAAATTTATTTCAGTTTGATAAGCTTCGTAGAAGTTAAGGGAATATTATTTTATTTCAGGGAAACTCACTATTGATCGGGAGTCTCTATATAATTTCAGGGCACTTTTTTGAAGCCTCGTGGTCTTGGAATAGTTGTGGAAATTACCAAATATTATAAATTAACAATATGGTTCACTCTTCTATTATCCCCAAGACACGATTTTTCCAGACACTAGCGGCTCTTGTGACGCGAAAGGTGACTAGTACACTGTAAATTGAGCGTAACAAGGCTATCAAAAACAACTCACTGTTGAGCAAAATTTAACCACACGGTAAGAAAAAAATAGTCAAAATTAAGTTCATATCTCAAGCGCCGCCGGGATTTTCTAAGGTACAAAATCTCTGATCACGAAGGGTGGGTGTGGAAGCTGCTTCTCGGGCGTCGGTAGCATTGGTATTCAGTACGGAAAACAAATCAAGGAAAAAAAGTTTATTTCACCCAACTAGGTACTATGTGGGAAGCCAAAAGTAAGTAAAGTCCCATGTACTCAATTAATCATGTTTTGTTGTTTTTGACATCATCCACATCCAGAGGGCCAGTCACTTTCAAATATATGAGAGTGGTAGGAAACCATTTAGAAATGCATGAACATTTTCAGTTTTTATTCATTATCGTCTTTATGAGCAGTTTGGCAGTTGTCACAAATGACATCAAGATGCCTAGCCGGAGTCAATTTTGTTCTGAATAGTTTTCAATCTGACAAGTAGGCTTACTCAGATTGGGCTTTTCCGCTTTTCGCGCTGCCGTTCCGCTTCCGCTGTAATTGCGTGATAAATAATAAAGCGGAATGAAACGATGTAAAATGGAAAGCAGAATCAAAACAAAACCGAAGCCAACTTTTCCCCTAGTTAGTTTGAGTGGGCATGTTGCAATTCGGGAACAACTGACGTTTAAATGCATTGCATACATTTGGCTTGTATGCTTTTGCGGCTTTTGCACATGTTGCTATACACGCTATTTTAAAACTACCCAAATTTGTGTAGAATCAACCCAGATCCGTCAAAACTGAACCTACCCAAAAATGGGTAAGCTGTGTTGGGAGTGACAAGTTGACAAATGAAAAACGTCGATCGGATTGATGTCAATGTTGTTCATTTGTCAACTTGTCACTCCCAACATAGTTTACCCATTTTGGGTAGGTTCAGTTTTGACGGATCTGGGTGGATTCTACTCAAACTTGGGTAGTTTTGAAATAGCGTGTACGGAGAACGAGGTACCCGTCACGCTAACTTGAAAGTACCCATTTATAAGTAAAAAAGGTTAATTTTGAAGAAAAGTGACT